AAGGAGGTGCTATTCCTATTCTTCTTCTGGAAAAACGAAAGAGAGCTTCAAAACAGACTGCAGCGCCATCTGAAGCAAAGCGCATACTTCCTGCGGACACTTTTTTGGCTGAGTGGCCCATCTTGTTATTTACTATCTTTGATTGTAAGAGAGATTTGCACGAGCACGAAAAGAGGCATGGAAAATTTGGGTACTGTGGGCATGTGTATGATTTTGGGTGTGCGTGTGTTTGTTTGTGTTTCGCCAGCGGTAAAGTGTCAGATTCTTGTGCGAACTGACGATGTTTCAACCCGTCCGATACGAGAGGAGAGTGAAAAAAGGGGAGAGGGGGGAGGGGGGGACACCTTAGTCATGGCTTACTCAAACCCATCTGCTAAGTCGTTGTTTTTGCCTTTAGCGTGTCGGGATTTGAAAGCATTGACCTTTGGACGTTAACTTTCGTTTCTTTCTGTGATGGACGTTAAACTCGGAGGTACCGCTTCTAAAGTAACCTAAAAAATGCGGGCCACACACGACATAGGCCGTCCTCAAGGCCCGAACTCAGTTGGACTGCACAGACCTCACACAGGCCTAGCTCAGGCCCAGCGCGGGCCAAGTCTAGGCTGAAATCAAAAGAAACCCCCGGCCTGTGCAAGGACTGAACAAGGACAGTCTGAATTCTGTCCTCGCCTGAAATCTCCATGAGGCCAGTGTGCATAGTACGTGTTTTAATGAAAGAAAATATCAACGTGGTCAAAAGACTGTTTTAGACTATTGAAATATATTTTTTTAAATAAATGCCTTTGGAAAATTCAATGCAAAGTATACAGTAACCGACAACTCAAGGACAAGTCAAAGCATATGAAGAGCTCGTTAGTCTCGAGAAAAACTTCGCGGCAAATGCTGACAGGAACCGTGTCAATACAAACATAATAAACAATTTATGAAGTTCATTCCGGAAGCAGTATAAAATTATGGAGACGTCAAAGAGCTCCAGTGCTTGCTGTGTAAAGCACCATGTTAAGACCTATGGAGAAGCCACAAATAGGACCAGAGCCTCTTTTGCTTCTTTTTCAATTATAGATCTATTGCTAGACTTGCCTGCAAAATTTCAGCCTGGTAGGTCGCCACCATGGAATGCAGCACTAGGTTTGCACAGTCCTGGCCTGTGTCGTGTGTGTGTGCACTTGGCCCAGGTCGTCTCAGCGGGCCTCAGGACAAAACTAAAGGGATCGCCTTCGGATAGCAGATCCCAAGGATGGCCTGTGTCGTGTGTGGTCCGCATCAGAGAGTTTACAATAATACTGTAAACCCTCTCTGCCCGCATTATTGTGTTGATATGGGTAAAACCTGTACCATAGCACCATTTTCCGTCAACTTTACTTCTCTTTGCTGAGATCATTCGAACGCGATAACGAAATGAAGGCTACAACGCAAACAGTGCAGCCTGTGTTGTTTGCATTCTTCTGTTCTTCTGCTCTCCCTCCCTCCTCC